ATTGGGATAAGAGAGGAGGAGGAGGGGGGGAGGGGAAGAAGGGAGAACCTTGGGGAAGGGGAGAAGAGTAGATGGCGATGTCACCATGTATGGTGCCCCCCAGAGTGTGTCAGCAGCTTCTCCTCACAGGAAGCTCTCTGGACTTATGTCCTCATGGACTGGGGTGCAGTGGTGGTGAGCCCCGTTTCATATCAGCCCAAGGCCACCTAGTTTTGAAGTGAAGAGGCTTCAGAGCACACTGCTTAGTAAATCCAAAATAGAGGTGATTTCTACATGGGCCTTAGGACTGCTGCCAGAGCTGGGGTTACCTGAGAAGTTTTCATGATCCAAAGATGCCCAGAAGGACACCAGTGAATGACGCAGCCCTGCCTGGAGAGGGCCTGGGGGGGATACTGCGCCATCCTCACAGTGGGGTGTGGGGAGCAACGTAGGAGAGAGGCGGGGCGCTGAGGGGCAGGTACCTTAGTTCCGTGTTTGCCCGGCATCCCTGGCATGCCTCGTTCTCCCTGAAGGAGGAAACAGAGAAACGATGAGAAGAGGACCAGACTCAGGGCCCCCAGGCCTCTGCCCTTGAAGCATGGCCTGCTCGACGTCACTAAAAATGGTTGGTCTGTTAGTTTGGGACAGTTGTCCTGCTCAAGATGAGCTTTGAGGACCTGCCCTCTTTGGCAGCCACCATGGGCCACTCCTCTCAGCTATGGGAACGTGTAGAGGGGTCCAAGTAATGGCTCACAGTGCGGGAAAGGCTCCCAGGGAAAGAGGCCCATCAGAGGAGCCTGAGTCCTGCAGGGATGGGGGGACAGGGGGAGCTGTTCAAGATCTACTGGGAGCCATGAGCCCGGCCAGCCTGGAGCTCAGTGCTATGGGGTAGAAGGGGCCCACTGGGCCACTTACCTACTGCACACCCCTTCCCATCCCCGCCCTGTACTTCTTGCCCCGTTTTCATTCCAGCAGCCTTGCTCTGGTGGTACCTGCTGCCTGAGCCAGACGGGCGCCCGCNTCCTTCCCATCCCCGCCCTGTACTTCTTGACCCGTTTTCATTCCAGCAGCCTTGCTCTGGTGGTACCTGCTGCCTGAGCCAGATGGGCGCCCGCATTTCACCTTCCTCTGGGGCTCCTTTTCCTCCAGGTTCCTTGGGTCTAACTCTTCCCAGGGGCATGTGGGCCTTGGCCTGACTGATGTGGCAGGGGGTCTGCCTGTACTTTGGGTGGTAGGGGACTGGAGATGAATCAGGGCGTTGCCTGGAACCTGTCCAGAGGCACCAGGACAGCTGTCAGTTCCCTAGGACATCGTGGGTGTGCTCTACCATCTCAGCAGTGTCTTCAGCCTCTCGTACCTCTCCAGGAAAATGCCATATCTATGGGAGGGGCTGAGCTCAGGAAGAAGGAAGGGGACTGTACTCTTCCATCCTTGGAAGGACACACCAGGAGGAGATGACAGCCCGTGACAAATGGGCCTGAGAGTAGGTGATAAAGACTAAC